CTTATTGGTAACAGAAAGGTTTCTGCACTGGTAGAAGATGTCATCCTTTGGCCAGGTGGTTGGACAAGATCCGATCATCCAGATTTTAATGGCTGTCCTTGTCAAATTTCTTTGAAAGCACTTCCATGGTGATTTATCAGGGAATATTTGCTGGCGAGTATGGTTTTTMAYAGCAAAAGCACAGTATTCRTCATAGTCAGCGCAGCAATCKTGGAAGAATTCACAATCAAYATCACAGTAGCAAGACAATAGTTCTTTGTAAACAATTTTACGGGCTTTGATACATTTGTGTTTGCAAGATGTCTCGTTGTGACAAACTAGTTTTGCTGGAGGTGACTTTAAAGATCGCCTTATTCGATGTTGATTTGGAATAATAGATTCCATCCCAYGTTTAGACGAGTTAAAAATATCTTYRTCTTGCTTGTTTCGAGTCATTCTTTTYATGAAAAAATCATAAGGYTGGTTTTTCAAAGTGGTTCTTGAGGTAGTGTTTCTTGGCGTCTGGTTCTGTAAAGGGAGCACGGAATCTGCTGTAAATGTAGTCCATTCTCCTTTTTCTTGGAAATAACCGACCCGTATTTTCATTTCCAGTTGATGCTTCATTTTGCTCTTGTTGAACGGGTTTCTCAAAGAATTGTGTTTGTTGGATTTTCTTGCATTGTTGGCGAAAATTCGACTTAAAGTATCTTTGTTCTGTGATGTTTTCAACAGTCCTTCGCCATTTAACGAATGATTCGTCCTTCGCTTCGTGGTTAGTGTATCCTTATTCTTSGTAAAACGYWTTTCGCTAATSATGTGAATRCCATCTGGTTCATATTCAGCTTTGTGTTTAGCGGAATTTGTAGCGGTATCAGAATACGAAGCCAAAAATACATAACATGGTATCAATATTACTAGTTTTAACATTTTGTGCGATTCTTGAATGATATCGTCCTAATGTCCTTATTTTACTTTGCCCGTTCGCACTATACGCACATCATCCGTAGTAGCATGAAGCCACATTGCTTTGTTAGTTAATATTTGGATTTTCTACTCTAAATTTATAGACAACCACGTTTGGGAACATATTATCTGGGACCATATGTCCAACATCCAATCGCAACGATTTCTTGCTAGTTATGATATAGTCATTAACTTTGTTTATGTATACGTTTCGTTTGATYTGAAAAATGAATACACTTCAATTGGTTAAGGGTTTTAATTATTTTCTCAATCCAAAAACGATTATGTCATCTACTACTTTGACTACTTTTAATAATGGGCTTTCTCGAAATTTTCTTGTCAAAGGTAATATGAATGATTTGATTGATGTGGGCAATTATGATATGAATGTTTGAATTGTGTTCTCTTTTTGCAACGTGATTTATAGTTCTCAATTGTGATTGGATATTTGAAAAGACTGAATTGACCGTAGAGGACACTGCTGAAAAACGCACTGCGCATGTTCACAGCTTTCCCGCTGAAATCTGGCTAATTTCCTTTGTAAAGCGATTTTTGTGAAAGTCTTTTACAATAGCCGACTTGCGAATTACGCATCAATAGTCACATACAAAGGAATCAAGACGAGGCGCCGTGCTAAAGACAATAGATTTTTCACAAAAAAGCACGGCGCCTCGTCTTGATTCCTTTGTATGTGACTATTGATGCGTAATTCGCAAGTCGGCTATTTATAAGCTCGTTCATCGATATATAAGATTCATATTTCCATCAATCATTGTTCATGATAGTATGTAGTTTCTATTTTTATCTTGTCATTTCTATTTTGAGAAAATGAGGTTTTTCGTAGTGTTTTCTGTGTTGTCGCTGTAAATCGCCAGGCGCTCTGTTTACAGATTTCAAGACGCGAGCGCCCACTGACGGGAAAGCTGTGGGCATGCGCAGTGCGTTTTTCACCAGTGTCACCGTAGACAGACTTGACAATCAAAACGTCACGATTAAGCAATGACGTCATTATGTCCCAATCAGGACGCAAGGATTTGATGATGTCTTTTTCTAAGAAAACTGAAAAGCCGTTGCGTTGTGAGTCTTGGTTCTCGCGTAAGCCGATTAGGTCTATTACAGTTATTCTCAAATTATGGGAACTCCTAAGAGCGTGYTGTTTAAGACAGGAATGAGGCCAAAAATATGAATACAAAATACAGCACATTTAATATTTGGAATGTCAGCTCATAACAGAGCCTTTTGCATGCGCAAAAAAATTGTAATTTTTTTTTTACCTTTATATTCCTAACCGTCTCTAGGGTATCCAAAAATGAATAATTAAATGATCATTATTGACTGCAAGTTTTTTTATAACTGGATTCATCGTCCATGAATACGATGGGTTCTAAGTCATTCTGTTTTGTTACATTTTGGCGGGAAAAAGTATAAGAGTGAAGCCAGGTAAAGATGACACGGGTTGAGCGTCAAGTGTATGCGATTCTTATCTCTTCACTTTGATAYTATAGATCACTTGACATGTTTGTGTAAAATTTGAACCAAGATATGATATATTGTGATTATATGAGGCAAATCATCGGTATATGAAAAAATGCTTAAAATATAAATGTTCTTTCGTAATGTTAGTTTAGAAACCCATAAAATTAAACAGCGTTTTTGTATAATGAATTTTAGATACTAATATTTACGTCAGTGACTTTAATTAAAAGGACGGATTTGTCGTTTTAATTTTGCTTATTGCACAATGTATGCTGCAATATTATATGATATAATGTTTTTATCAATTCTTGGAAAATCAGAGACATTTTCCTGTAAAAATACATCATATTCYTATCTTTYTGACTAAAAATTTCAATATATAAGCCAGCACTGCGCATGAGCGCCTTTTCATAGAAACCACTGATCGACTTTTGCACGAAAAAAATCCTAATTCATGAGGGAAAAAAAATATTAATTTACGTAACTTTCACCTTTGAAATTAAGCTTTTTAATCTTATTTTTATTCATAGATAATTTTTTGTTCGCCATCTGCTATCTWATATCTCAACAGCCATCTTCAAAGTAAATTCCGAGTACTGTGCTCAATTAATTACTTTCCGGATAGAAAATTAAAAAACTGTCAAAAGATATGAAAGTCATCTTGCCTGCTTCCCCGGAGACATGCACACTTGAAGCTAAAAATACTAATATCAATATCAACGAGACTTATTCCATGCATGTTCTCTCGACATTTATATAAAACTACTTTTATTGTGCAGTCACCTAAACCATAATTATCTTATCAAGATCTACGCGACGTCTTTGSTAAGTTCAACCATTTCGGATCATTCTCAATAGAAGACTCTATATGAAACTTAGCAATGGCAAACAAACCCTACATTTTTATATAATTTAAGGAAACTCAAACGATACAAGATTCTCATGTGAAATATTCTTCTTTTTCTCTTGAAAAAAGAAGGTTTAATAGCGAGTGTTTTTGGTTTAGTATTAGTTTAATGACACTGTCGGAAGTATAAATCCTTTGTACAATTTCAAAGGTATGGACTCAATTAAAAAGGTGTTTCCAATAACATCTTTTGATTAGTGCTTAATTGATTGAAGTCATACGTTTCTCACCATATCGCCCTCACGTTCTTAAGCATCGGCATTACTATTAAGACCTTCATTGGAAACTGAGCTATCGGTCAGAACACAAAGGGAAGATGGCTGTCGTTTTTTGTCGTTCTCCCTTCGTCTTAATAGTGATATTCACCATGATTGCTGCATCAATGATGGAAAAGAATAGCATGTCAAGAAAACAAGAAAAAGATGTGCAAAAAGACGCTGTTTCTGAACAAAGGACAACTCATTTGGCGGATGTTCTCTCGACAAACATTGCCTCCGAAAAGAATGGTCGGTCAGCAACRTCTCGAGGATCGATCTTGGATAAACAGCACCGAGCTGGATTGCTTAAMCGTCAGTTATACGACAAGAACTCACAACAAGGGGCTAAGGACCACAAAGCGTCGATCAGGTCTGTACTGTCTGATAAAGAAACGCTAACCGAGATTATTGAGATCGTCTTATTGAGATCGTCTCAAGTGGGGTTTTTACAACATCCGAATAAAAAGGTCAAAGCAAGTAAAACTCATCCATTATATATAAAAAGAATAGGTTGCCTCGTGTTGAATTGATAGGATTTTGACTGCTAATACTGAACACAAGTGTGAAAAAGAAAGTCGTGAAGTTGTTGAAGCCCCGGAAAATGATGGATTTGAAAAGGAGCATTAGAACTTCCGTCAAATTGCACAATAGTACTATGCACAATATAAGATTAAGGGCCTTATATGAATAACACTCATTTCCACAGTATGCCAAATTTGATTTCATAATGATGATGAAAATTATTTGTTGATTTTCTTCTAGTGACATCCCGCTAAATTTCCTACATCTTTTTTCACATAATACTTAAATTTAGTTGTATAGAAATCTCTATTTGTAAATCGACTTTTTTCTAGTGATAATCACACATCCAATTGAATTTGTTTTTGGATAATGATTTAGCAAAATGCGAACTTAGTTTTTCAGTATTCCATGTATATTGTTTGTCTCTGATCATAAAATTTCTGCGTTGCTTGTAGAATTGAAAAAGATATATGCCATTTTATACTGGGCAAGTACTGCATGTTAAAGATAAATGATAAAAAAAAATTCTAGCATTCAATCAATAATCTTGATGRCATGTCAATCACAATATGTCGAACTTTGAGATCTCCTTGTCCATAATTACATATTTAAACATACAATCTAAACTAACTTTCTTATAGTGTTAATTAAATGCACTCAAAGTGACCATGCTCTGTTTGTAATTAACTATGTATTTGCGTTTAGATTCAAAAGATCAAATGACSCCAAATTAAAATCACCTACAAATGTCACTCGTGGAAAAAAARCARCAGATTCCTATACAGTCACYCGACAGAAATACTACAAAGGAATTGGATGTTTTTGTGAMGTGAGTTGTCCTAAGTGTGATCAGTGTCCTWYRACAAATACAACMACTAAATCTACGARCAACACGACACCTGTCAATGGAACTCTTCYAGATGTTGAAACATGGAATGAATGCTTGCAAAAATCTTTAAACACACGGTCACCGTCCACAAAAAATAGCACATTCAACTGGTCATGCGTGAATGACATCTGGATGATCACGTCTTGTGCCATTGACTGGACTATTGATAAAACAAGAGAACAGTGCTCAAAAGGTATGGATTTCCAATCAAATARCTTAACCAATGAACACAGTGTGTATCAAGTTCCAGTTTTCACTTCAAATGGGCATGTTTTTCGGAATCGATATTGTGCTCAGTGCAATAACTACAAAACATTTCAGGCTTATGAAACAATGTTCACATGTTCCTTTCCACCACCGGCTGGGTATTCGCGCTCACAGATTCGTGAATATCTCTTTAACAAATGCAAAAACCCTACATGGGCGCCAAAGGAAGACCAGCCAAAAGAGACTTGTCCAAAGCTCGAATTGCCTTGTTCAGTGAAGTTTACACGGAAAGGGCGCAGTTCGGCAAAGCAAACAAGGTGTAAATATTGTAGTGGGATTGATGAGATTAAATGCAAAACCCGAAGCAATACAGGAGACTTAATCACAAACTTAGGATTACCCGAAAAGAAAAAGAAAAAGCAAACTTTTACTCTTTCACTATCAGTTCCTTTTGAGTTTATTGATAATCCTACAAACCGTCTCTTGATTAAAGACATTAAAGTAACTTGTGCTGAGGAAAAACAAGTATACGATCCATATTTGGAAAGGTGCAGAAAAGGAATGGTAGCTAAGCCTAAACAAGAGCCCTTTGATACTTACCGACTAAGTATATTTTATGAAAAACAATCGACGAACATAAGCTTAAGTGAATTCAAATCATATTTYATAAAAGAGTTTGGCTCACATGGCSTGAGGTATTTCAATGAYCAGTTCTTTCCAAAAGGTCTGCAGTTCGATATTTCAGTTCAGCGGTTTCGACAACAATAYCCGGTCAACGAAGAACAATTAATRAATGTTTACAATCACCTTAACAAATACTTAAACTTTAACGAGACCATTGAAATCACRATCAATCAAACCAAAGTCATAATTCACAAAGTWACTTACAGGATTCTAACTTGCGCTGATTTACAAATACACAAAAAAGACGAATATGCAKTCCTCGAYGGATACATGCCAGCGGTCCACCTCAATAAGTCACGWGAAACTTTGCWRTATCACCAATATTATGTTTTAAAGAACGGAGACATTGCTGTATGTAACGCTCAYGTCAAKGTAAAGAACTGTACGGGTGCATATGTCCCGTTCAACAGCACAGAGTACACCATGCTGGCCAACGATACTGTYCGTTTAGATACCAKTGGCGAAATATTCAAAAGCAATGAATATGATACCATAGATGATAAAATATGGATCTGCGTAAACTTTGGAAACACATTCTCGCGGTCTAAAAAGCGGTATGACGACTCAGACATTCTTGGGATTTTGACATTYGCATGCATGATTGTATCGATTATTGCACTGGTCTTTGTCCTCGTCACCTATTCCTTGTTCACYGAGCTAAGAACACCACCAGGTATWAACCTCATGAACCTCAGCGTTGCCATTYTGCTCTCACAACTCTTGTGGCTTCTTGGGAGTAATCAGACRGAYAGACCAATGGCTTGTACTATCATCGCTGTACTTCTTCACTATTTTTTYCTGGTTTCTTTCGTGTGGACGTCCATCATCGCCTTTGACACTTGGAGGGCCTTTACTGCAAAAGGAAGACGTTCCATGGCTGATTCGAAGCGCAAAAGACTGCTGCATACCTTACGATATATGGSWGTTGGATGGCTTTCTGTCATGGTGTACGTGTCAATATGTGTGGCTCTTGACCAATCAGGACTCTTCAAGATAAAATATGGCTCCCCTTCCCAATGCTGGATTGCAAACACAAAAGCCAACATCTTCGTCACTATTATCCCTGTTGGGTTGGTTGTGATCTCAAACATCGTCCTCTTCTCAATGACGGTTAATGCTATCAGAAAAACCCAAAACCAAACCAAGCTCATCAAAAACCAGTTAAATGACTCAGAAAACAGGCAGAACTTTGGTATTTATGTTCGCATTGCGGTGATGATGGGCTTCACGTGGATCTTTGGATTCATTGCCCCGTTTGGCTGGTACTTTCTGTGGTATCCACATGTGGTTTTGAACAGTTCCCAAGGTGTTTATATAGCAATTGCTTTTGGTCTCAACAAGCGAGTCAGGAAGCACTTTGTGGATCTTTTCCGGGATAAACAAACAAGAGCAAGAGAAAGCTTCAACAGCACCAAGATGTCTCTTCTTGGATCGAGTAAGAGAAAATCATCATCGAACTCTCAAGAAAGAAACACTGAAAAAATGGTCTAAATGTTGAATTATGAAGTCTTAAGATAGCTACATCTAAAGATAGTAGGARTTGAAATAAAGATATTAATAACAAAAAAGAAAAATCGAAATAAAATAACCAGTTGCTCTATATTATAAAGATTATCCCGAAATTTGCAGAAATAAGACAAATAAATGCAACTTATGTAAGCAATCATATCAACACGTAGGAACTTCTAGAAAAAGCAGAGGTTGAAATTAATTGCATACAATCAAGAAAAAACAGGACAAGTGGTGCCATGGTAACAATTACTTATTTGTTACCTCCAGAGGAAGAAGAACAAGTACAGTAGTATACTAGGAATACAAACACATGAATATGAGGACCGCATGGCACTATGAGACACCTGACATAGAAATAAAGGAACGTTTTTTTGCTTAGAAGTAGGTTAATCCGGAGAAAAAACCCCTGGAAATAAATTCGGAAAAATTAATTTCCGAATTAAGAATTAATTTCCGGTTAGTATCCCTGCGAGGTCGGAATTATTTTTTCCGAATTTATTTCCAAGGGTCTTGTTCCCGGATTAACCTAATTCTAAGCACTAGAACTTTCCTTTATTTATATGTCATACACTAGGAATATCCTGACTAAGAATAGCTGTAAAACACAAACATGAAGGTCGACTGAATCGAAATTTCCGGAAGAATCCTTAGAGGTGAACGTAGACCATGTCTTACAACATTATAGAATACAATAACAAAATTGTCCACAGGAGACTTCTAATTATTATTTATCATATATAACTATCAATGAAATATCTATATTTCTCACTATAGTGAAAATATCACATTCGTGGTTACTCTATATATTGGAGGTAAATGAAAATATAAACTAACAAAAATAATTTGCTTTCATAAACAATTATATGATAAACAGAACATTACATGGTCGCTTGGAGATGCGGATCTTTTCGTGTTGAAAATTTCGCTACGCTCTCTCGTGAGAGATCTTGTAAACACTCCAAGATAAAAATCCGTATCTCCGCGCGCCCATGTAAAWCCTCTATGTCTTACATAAAACGTTGGCATTCTAATTGTATAGCCTTGATAATTTTGTATTGGTAATACTGCAAGTTGTTTATTGATTCTACCTGCTGTAAAAGATTTTAAGTTTTGGCTACATATGATTTTTGATCCGCTGGAATTAAATTTATGTGAAATTTCATATAAAARATAGTAGAGAAACAGATGGCTTTCTGTCGTTAATAAAAGTTATTCATTAGAAGAATTAATTGTTGCGTGTTCCTTATTTAAGTTTTTTTCATTTTAAAAAGAAAAAATCAATTTAAAGAGATCGTTGAAGATTGTCACCTGAGTACATAGTTGCTTGCTAGAATTATCCGTCAAAATAAAAAACAATATAGAACTGTTTACATTTTGTCAATCTTGTTAGGTTTTTTATTGGCATAGAGTACACTCTCAGTGGAGAACCTAATTGGCACCAAAGCTCCAATTACAAATATTGTATTTGCCAACTGTTAGAACTGAGATATACCCAATTACACATGTGCACATCGCTTTGAATTCATTGTATTGGCTGATAAAACATTTTTGTATCAATATACAAATTTGAAAGAGTACACCTGCCTCAAGAACGAACTATAAAAGCTTCAAGAATGTAAAGCTTAAAGTACAATCGAATATTGAACTGGATAAAGGAGTCGGTGATGATGCTGCCAAATCGTTTGCTTTGTGTATTTTTGTTTCTTTACAATATTTCAGTCGCCTTTGCTACTGCCAAAGGTACATTAAGCGAGAAAGAATGGCCTAGTGTCCTAAATTCTGAAAGATACCTTAGAGGACGTGGCTCGTACTCCGCGAAAGATGATTTCGAGGAAGACACTTCAAACATACAACATTTACTTCAAACTGCAAGAAAATGGAATCAGGGTCGTGACATGAGAAAGAAACCGAATTTCGCATGGCCAGATATCGAAAAAAGTCGTCGAGGAGATGGAAAAAGGATCAAGGTAACACCAAAATTGAGCATTGTGAAACCGTCAGATTTTAAATCCAAGGTGAGTGACAGTCTACACCCCTCATTCGTTTTCCAAGAAAGACTRAAACGAAGACGAATTAGAGAAAAAACATCGAATTTGAGTATCGTGCATAACCTATCCAACGCAAAGACGATATTGGGACGGAAGCCAAGATCGATAATTCGGTCGAATCGATGCGGTAGTGAATTCACATGTTGGAATAAATGTTCTCTTCCTCGAAGCTCAATCTACGAAAACACATTCAAGTGCTACTGCGATRYYGATTGCGAATTCTTCAAAGACTGTTGTGYTGATTACGGTTCATTTTGTAAAGGTGAAGATAATTGGTGGAACCAAACAAATAATGATTTAAACAACACAAATAATGATGGAAACAGCGCAAACAATGGTACCAAAAACCTGGTAGGTTTCAATCCATTCATGTTSAGAAGAAAGAAACGCAGTATGGCWTTGGAGAAAAGTCTATGGGATTGTTTTTCCTATCCATATATGAACGCCAGTATAAATGGAATTTGGATGATTGGGTCATGTCCAACCACCTGGCCAAAAGATAACATCTTCTACCAGTGCAGAAACCTTTCTGTTACCAATAAGATTACTAAAGATAACTACCGCTATCTACCTGTATATACCAGCAATGGTACAGTGTATCATAACAGGTTTTGTGCTCAGTGTAACGGAGTGGCTTTAGATCAGCTTAAGTCGTATCAACTCTCAATGAACTGCATAACAACCCCTTCCGTCGATCTTAGTCCCTCGAAAACTTTAGACTTCCTATTTGATCACTGCATTGGAATGAGTTGGGAGCCACAAGGCTTATCACTTCCTAGAAGGTATTGCCTTATGTCAGAAGAAATTTGCAGTATACCTACATCCAAAATGAAGTGCAAGCATTCTCCAGTTCGAATAGTGTCCTACCGCAGTACCTTTTACAAGAATGTGTTTTGTGCAGAGTGCAATGACCGTTCAAAGTCTGATCTCAAATGTGGGCCATCCCATAACGATACTTTTCCGAATCCTTCTAGGCAAGTAGCAGCTTTATCAGTGATATTTGATTTCAGTGGTGTCTTTAGGGGTAAAGTGTCCGCAGTAAAGTGTCCAAGAGACGAAGTATACGACAATCACTTGGGAATTTGTAGAGAAACACTCGCCGCTGCGCCAAAATCGTCAGGTTTTACAAAATATGAGGTCGCAACTTGGTTTAAGACCACCTTTAAAGG